CAAAAATTCCTTGCACAAAGCCAAACACATTCTTTATAAATCTTTTTCAAATCAACCAAAGTCAGTGGGGTTAAAGGGAAGTATAGAGAGAAGAATATTTTTTAAAAAGTGACTAAAATTATCAAAAGGTACTTACTACAATTTTGGTTTAGGAATTCAGCATTCTTATTTTCTGTCTTTTCTACAACTGTAGCAGTTTTGATACGCTATAAACACAGAAAACATGTTCAAGTAAACTGGAATTAAGGTGTTATATGAAAACGACTTTTAAAAGTCAGAGTATTAAGGTCTGAATCTTTTAAAATAAACTTGCTTTGCTATGAAAAGTTGAACAGTATTTATATCTATTTCATAAATGTTATGCCCATTTTAGAATATTGCTTATCCTAAAACACAAGACTATAACTTTCACTGCAGACAAAGAGGCAAAAGAGTCCACAAACTTTCTGATCTCATCCATAGCCAGCATAATAATACAATTTTCATCAGTTACTGACGATTTCTAGAACATCCATGGCACAACTCCTATTGCTGTTGATCACATAGCCTGAATCTTGTCATTTCACTAAACTATATAGGAGAGTTGGAAATTATGAAGTATTATTTTTAAAGTTTTAGCTATTGCTGAGGTAACTTCTTGCCTGCAGCAAGATTCCCTTTTTCCATTGCCACAGATACTTAACCTAGATCAAATAAAAATCTGCCATCACTATCATAAAAATATACCCTCTAATCTAAAATATTTTGCCTCAGCCTGGCTGTCTTTCCTAATCTACCCAGTGGTTCTCCAAACTAGGAGGGGAGAAGTTATGGAAATATGCAGGTGTTTGGGGTTGTCACAATGGCAGAGGGTTTCTCCTGACAATAGGTAAGCACAGTCCTAGGTAGAATGTTTATTATCCTACAACATTTAGAACCATGCCACACACCTGAAAAACAGTGCTCTTATGAAGAAACACTTAGTTAGATAATTTGAACCATTACTTTGACTTTTTCCTAGTATCTTCAACTCTCATACCCTTTATCTTTCTGCCACATACTTACTTAAATTGAAAAAGAGTCTACCATCTGCTCTTTTTTTTTTTTTTACTCTAATACCAAAGTTACTAAGCTTTGAGAAAATTGTACATATTTATGAACTAATGACATAAAATTCAGTCTTAAATTTTAACTGGGTCCTCAACATGGTCTAACATTTATATTTATTCTTAGGCCTCTCCTTACTTCTCAGTAGCTATTCCAAATCTTTACATGTCCCCGAACCCTCAATTTCAACAGATCCTCATGAGAAACCTCACACCCCAGAGAAACAAAAGCTATTAAGTGTTCCTCATCTAGAAATTTATCTGTATCTCTGATCATCTCCTGTTTCTCCAAGATATTTTCTCTTATCCAGTTCCTGCTTGGTCCCTTCAACTATCTGGAATGAAGGCCCTTTTCCTCAAAATATCCATTTGACTAACCTTTATTGACCTTTCAAAAATCAACTCCCTCTCTGTATCTCCTTAAAAAACATTTCTTGATCTTTACCCTCCTTGTCCAGCTATGACTGGGTTCCTATTTGTATTCTATAAGTACATCTGAGAACACTTATACTATATGGTAATTATCTTATTAATTTGTCTAATTTCCATGTTAGACTTTGAGATACTTTAAGGGCAGAGTCTACTTGTATTTCACATTTCTATACCACAGGCTTTGCCATAGCAGTCACTAATTTTTATAATAAACTAAAGAATCGTGGCAAGTCCATTTCTCCTACCAAATGTGTAAATTAGAGTTACGGAGAATGAATATTCTTAAGTTTTATTGTAAGCACTGTAAATGAGTCATATGCCAAAAGGACCCTAACTTTCAAGGACAATAAATGATACCTAGAAAAAAAAGTAATGCTTTAAACAAAGTGAGACACTTACTGCTTGCAAAAGAAGTTACCTCGATATAAATATTTCTATAATA